AGGAGGAGGAGGAGGAGGAGGAGGTAGGAGGAGGAGGAGGAGGAGGAGGAGGAGGAGGAGGAGGAGGAGGAGGAGGAGGAGGAGGAGAGGAGAGAGAGAGAGAGAGAGAGAGAGGGAGAGAGAGGAGGAGGAGAGAGACGAAGGAGATCAGCAAGAGGCACCTCGGAGTCCTTGACAAGGGCCTTCATGTACTTCTCGAGAGCTTCCTGCCTCTCCTTGATCAGCGCGGGGCTGAGGCTGCCGAAGTACTTCTTAGGGGGAAACTCCGGCAACTGCGAGAGAGAGCGATCAGAGTGCCATAGCAGGATCCCACCAGTCCATCAGGGCAAGCAGCACACGCAAGGAGTGGTTGCGCTCCCTCTGCCTCCTCCCTGCTCCTCTCCTCCTTACCACGATGTTGTCGTCGCTCTTGAACGCCTCGTCGAGCTGAGCGTCCAGCTCCGCGAAGTCGCTAAATCTCTTTTCCATGTTCCACTTCTCGTCATTGTACACCACCACGAACGGGTATCGCTGGAGCAGCTGGGTCAACAGGAGGCGACCGCAAGGTAAGAGAGTGTATCACCGTGTGCTCGCTCACGAAGCAGAGAAGCCTGTCCTTGCCCCGCACGTTGTAGGGATCCTTGAAGAATACTCGGACATCGTCGTCGCCTTCCTTCAAGCCCTTGCTTCTGTACTTCTCTCTCTCCAAGGACATCGCAATGAACAAGTGCTGGCTACGAGGTTCAGGACTGGCTGCCTGCAGTATCAGCGTCAGAAGATCACAGGGTGACAGGCCCCAGAACACAAGTGAAGGTCATGAGAAGTCAAGGCAGCAGTGATGGAATACTAGGAAGTAATGATATAGAAGTAGCGAGGACGCGAGAAAGAACAACAAGAGGTATCTAGAAGAAGTCCAGGTTGTCAAGCGAGAGGGATATAGGAGGGAACTGTGAATGACGGAGGGATACTGTGGTGATCAAAACAAAGAGAGGAGATATCATAATGGATGGATGGGTCGAGAAGAAGCAGAGGGCACGGCGGGAAGGAAAGCAGTCGCAGTGGGCAGGTCAGTGATAGTAGTGAGGGGGCAAGGAAACGAATGGAGCGGGAGGGAGGAGACGGGTGGAAGGGAAGAGAAAGCAGATCGAGGAGCAAGGAAACACAGAAAAGAAGAGAGGAGGGAGGAGAGCATAGAGGCAGCGGCAGGGGGAGCGGGAGGCGGATGCTGGAGCAGCATGGAGAATGTAAGCGCCATGGAGTGACGAGGCGGATGAAATATAGTAGGGTGGGGTACTCCAGAGGCCGTGCCACAAGAGATTGGTAGGGGTACAGAGAATTTTCTTTTCACCCCTTATTTTTCCAGTAAAGTTAATACAAAAGTACCGGTACTTTAAAGAATCTCTTTCTGAGTAGGTAAGGGTCATACCTGGTACCCCTTATCAAGCTCTATCCCTGCCGAAATATATCTGTTGAGAGGTGGTGGATGTAATTCATGACTACCGGTACTTTATACGTACATTATACCGGTGATGAACCACTGTTCATGGTCTAGTGTGGGGTAGGGTAGAAAAGGAGGTTATTGACCCTGTAACCGTCCATCAGGACTCTTCAAAATGGCGTGTAGAGCGTGTAGAGCGACTTTTTTTTAAAGCTCAAATTCGAAAAGTTTCAAAGCTTGTCAGTCACTCTGAGTTCTGACACAGAGACCTCATGCGTACGGAAACGGCTATCTGCTTTTAGAAAACTTTATTCACTACTCTATCTTCCATAAGCACTGCGGCAAGTTTTTGAACTGGTTCGGCCTCCGGACTGAAAGGTATAGTGACGTAGCCCCGCAGCATGAGCCAAGTGTTACAGGTTGTGACCGGCCCTGCCGTTGTGGCCGAGGATGTGATGATTCCGTTGTAAGAGCGATTCTGCAAGCGAACGGGTGGAGGTGTATGAGGACTGGTAGGTGATTGGAAGAGAGTCAGTCCTTTGAGAACCAGGCCCGGGAGCTGACATCTGTGTTCTCATCCACATGACCTTGGCAGACACATCGTCCCCTGGATCTTCTGTGGACTGTGATCGACGAGGACTGGAGGCCGAGAGGTTGGCAGTGCGAGGAGTCGGCTCTCTGTAGCTGGGCATGTAGCTGGTGGTTCTTGAAACGTCGGCGGGAGCTGCCGAGATCGACCTGTTGCAAGTTGCAAGTAAGAGGATAAGAACCGTAGGCCTGGAAGAAAAGATCTAGCTCAGGGTCTTACCTGTAGGAAATCCGTTGACTGCTTTGTTCCTGCGAGCTCCCCTGCATCTTCTCCATGGCTCGCTTCTGGGCGGCCACCAGCCTCGGCGTCATGGTCATGGGCGTTGCTTTGGTCGTCATGATCTTGGCAGAGGAGTGGTTGCCGTTCATGGTGTTCAAGGTTCTTGCTCGTGTAAACAGTATCTCGCTCTCCACATCATCGACGTCGTTCGTCTCGATGGGAAGGAGGGACGGCGGGTTCCTCCCTCCAGACTCTCTCCTGTTAGGAGAGCTGGATCTCGATCGTGTCCTCGAAACAGGCTTGTTTCGGATGCTCATTCGGTTGTCCCTGCTCGGGGATAGGCGATCTGCGTCGGACCTCTCACTCCTGGAGGGAAACTCTGCCTTGTTAAACCTTCCCGGAGACAAGGGCTCCAGCATTCTGAGATCGACGGAGGTTGCCTTTCCCACACTCGTTGCCGTGCTGCGCACGTCTGCATCGCTAGATCTCCGTGGCTGCCTGGGGGGCAGCATCTTCGAGAGGCGGATCTCCTCCTCCTCCTCCGATTCGCTGGCTGAGAAGAGCCTGGGTGACATCGACGGGAACTCTGGACCTGGGACCCTGGGCTCCGACATCCTGCGAGCTGGCAGCTTGAAGACCTCGTTGACCATTTCAGGATTCGAATCGTTGGATAGCTGGCTGGACGTCATTGGAAAGTTCTGTTTGTAGGAGAAGGAGCCCTTTCTAGCGAACTCGAGGAGTTCATCTTTCGACTCTTTGCTCATGTACGAACTCCTTCTGCTCTGCGAAGGTTGAATCTCAGGCTCTGCTGCGTTCCTCTCTGAGTTCCCTAGGACCTTGAGGAACAAAGTCAGGACAAGTCAACAAGAGCATTGCTGTGAGCACCTCCAAGACAAGCGCCTCGAGCCTTGAATGCTTGTCTTTGAGACTTCTTATCTCATCCACCAAGTCATCAAGAGAATATTGAGAGCTCGAGAAGTTTGCGGTGGAACCCGAAGTCTGTCTCGAAGGGAGTTTCATTTCTGACAGTCGATTCGGATTCGCGGCAGGTAGAGAGGACTGTAAGCAATTGAAAACAGGATTTCTCGAGAAGTTCATTGAATCACCTTTGTCTTGGTTGGCCTTCCAATCAGATCCCCCAGCCCTGCATGATCCTCCCTCACAGCATTTTTGTGCGTGAGGTAAAATCTGAAATAATAGTCAGGATCATTCAAGTGTGATGCAATGTTGAACAAGAGCAGTGCTCGACCTTCTCAGATTGTCGCCAGCCTGAAACACAATCAGCTTAAAATTGGACGAACGGCTGATGCTTCACCTTGTACAGTTTCCGCAGCAGGTCCAGCCGCTTCAGCTCTTTATACGTTGGATTCGATTTCCTTTTGTTCGAACGGTAAACCCCAGTGAGGTTTCTCCACCAGAATTGAATAACTCTTGCAGCACAACTCATGGCGGCCATCTTCAATCTGTTGTTGTCGATCGAGACCATCATTTTCTCTTCATCGGCATTGAGATTGAGCTTCTTGGTGGTACTCGCAGTGATGAAAGCGATGATAAGGGGCATCCACAACATGACAACCACCGCAGCCATCCTTCCGATGTGAGTCTTCGGAACAGATGAACTGTACCCTGCAACAGGGTCTCAACCATCAGCCCGCTCTCCCAGTCAAGATTACCTGTGGTCGCCTGTGTCAAAATCACCCACCTGTACAGCATTGCATCAGCAAGTTGAAATCTTCAGTCAGAAGTTTCCATACATCTGATCCCAGATATATATGCTGTGCGGCATGTATGCCGGTCCTTCAGCTATCCTCATGATGTATGACATGCTTCCAAGTAGCAGAAACATGACGAAGAGCACGATGGATCCCGGATTCCGAGTCATGGCAACTTTGAAAGCCAGAGTCCTATGAGACGTTGCACTTTCTTGTGACATTACGATGGTTGCATGATCACCAACCATGTAAGAATCCTGACAGAAATACAATCAGCGAATGCCTTCAGCGCAAGCACACGTCTACCTCAAGGTCGAAGTATCGCAGGTAGGTCGCGTTCTCTAGCCAGTTCCAAATATGGTACAATCTCAGAAACATCAAAGCACACATGATTGACTCCAATCGATAGTAGAGCTTGGTCCCAAGGATTTCCATCCGAATGTCTAAATACACAAACGGAAATGTGTGAAACAGGTTGATGAACAGTTGGACTATCAGGAATGCAATCGAGGTCCACTTGAAGCGGTATCGTCGCTGATTGTTTCCTTCTATGTGCGAGATGTTGGACATCCTATTTTCTATGCTTTTTCTTACCCCCAAGACTTGTGCTTCCAATGCAAAATTGTTGAAGATTATTGCGTAAATGACCAACGTGATTATCGTCTCCGAGAATTTGATGATGTGAGCAAGACTGTTATTACATCGCCTTGCTGGTCTACTCGCACTGTCTAACCAAGCCTGCTCGGCAGCATTTGGCAAATGATCCGAATAATCTGGAGCAGCACAGATCTCATTGACCATGATTCCACCCAAGAGGCTGCGCACAACAGTTTAAAGGAGCAAAACCATGATAGATTGCACTACCTTAATGACGCCAAGATTGCAAGAATACGCTGCCGTTTATAAATCTTGACTTGCAATTCCCTTATTGACTTTCTGTCGACCTGATCTGATTGAGATAGTCCGTCGCCCTTCACTCTCCTGCGCATTCGTTGCACTGCCAAAAGCAACATCTCTCACGACAGGCAGTGGTAGTCCATTTGCAATACCTTGCTTCACTACATCCTCCACCGACTTCCCGCTCATCTTCCTCAGAGATTTTCTGATTGAAAGTCTCGGCATTGAATGCTTGTCTCCAGTCATCTGAATCACCAAAGGAAAGGGAGAAGTCAAACAGAATACGTCTGTCACAAGCTGGCAGGTACTGTGCGACCCTATGGGGGGCGTATCTGAAGATTAGTTTCGTTCCTGAATCTCTCTAACATCACGCTCACGTTGTATGCTAAGATCGTCGCAATGCGAATCATATTGCTCCACGTGACCAAAATCACTCCTCTTGTCCGTTTTCATCATACCCTAATCTCTCTCGCGTTCATCCTTCCTCCTTGCCAACACTGCAAGCCCTCCCCCTCCCCCTCCACCACTTCCTCCCCTCTCGGTCCGTTTCCTTCTCTGCTCCTCTGTCACATCATCATCATCATCATCATCATCATCATCATCGTCATCATCGTCATCATCATCGTCATCATCATCATCATCATCATCATCATCATCATCATCATCATCATCATCATCATCATCATCATCATCATCATCATCATCATCATCATCATCATCATCATCATCATCACCTCTTCTCCTTACTCCTCTGCTTTTACTTCTTCTTCTTCCCTTCTCCTCAGTCTCCATCATCCTACCGCAATCCCAACACTGCGCTCGACCATTGAAAATCAACAATTGACCTCTTACAACCCTACCCCCGTCATAGTCTTGACACAGCCACCCTCAAACACCCTCTGATTGATTCTTTCCGTACCGGGTCCTGACAGTCATTGATACCACCCCACCCATCTTTCCCCTGATATTCCCCACATGGACGTCCTGTGCGTAAATCTCTACCTACCCCCACCGTCCTTCCGTCTCCCTTCTCCAGCAGTGAGCGTTCTCCATGGCTCAAGGTCAAGCATTTAATAGTTGATACTTTAATATCAAAACACATACCTGCTACCTTCGTTTCCAATTCACTCAGGCACGCTCATGAAGTTTGCGACGGACCCAGTGACGCCGCCCGGCGGCCATCCGAGTGCAACTTGAGTAATCATGGACACCACCCGGCGAGCGCCTGTCCGGGCCCGTCTTGAGTGGGGATGAGGGCTTGCTTGCAAAGGGCGAAATGGCGGCAGCAGAGTTGCTCAAGGTGGGAACGCACGGAGGATGCGAACAGGAGAAGGAAGGGGAGGGAGGGGGAAGAGGGGAGAGATAAAGTCACGATGTCAGTGCGCGGGGGAAGGATAGCATGAAGATCCCACTCCTCTTAGGGCAGAACCCTTCTCCATCAAGAATCGTGAAATTGACAGGATTTGGCTTGTTTGTGGAACGTGGGGGTAGGCGCCAAGGGTAGTTTGCGCTGACTCCTTTTGCAGGCGAAGGAGGAATTCTTCAAGAACCGAGAAGGGAAAGAGAACGTGGCTCAGCATTTCATATCGGACCGGACGAGAGAGACTTTGGTGCTGTCCCAGGTGTGAACTGCGCCCCTGTTTCTCCCTTTCGGTGCGGTGACTCGTTGTTGCTGACCGTAGGAGGATCTGCCCTCTAAGCCAGCCTTGCACTTCAAGAATTGTACTGATTGCTCTATTACCATACCAGATGGCACAACGGTAGTCAAGGCAGGACTTGGAATGCGATTCCACGTGGCAGGACTGAAAGTCTCCGCAGGTGCTGATCGAAGGGTGTCGGGGCTGCAAGTTTGAAATGAGCCATTGCGCGATCACGACAGCAACGCTCGAGGTTTGGCGGTGCGAGAGCTGTGAAATCAGAAGCGCATGCCACCTCGGCACAATCCAGACCGGTACGTCACTAGTCCTTGTGGTGGCCGCCAGTAACCTGAGTCTGTGAGAAGACCTGTGTGATGGATTGAAGATCGAGATGGAAAAGTCGGAGGATTTCGGTAGTCTCGTGCAGGCTGGGATGCATAATCTACAGGTGGTCTTCAAAGACGACAAGTTTCCTCCGCTTCAGACAGGTCCTCCGAAACCCCCTCAGTTCACGATCGATCTGACGTCGTTCCAGGACTCGACGAATTGCGCCGCCAATTCCCAGACGACGAGATCAACTCTACGACAGACCAGTACATCACGCGTGTTGTGAATGGCAAGTTGTTGACTGAACGGGTGAGCGCCGTAAACCGATGAGGAAGTGCGGCTCATCCATAATTGTAGATAGTTCGCCTGCTCAATGACTACCCGACTACTGTAAGAGAACAAGCTTCTTTCGAAGCAGAAGCAGCGAAAACCTCAGAGGCGATGGAGAAGCTTGTGGGTTCCTGTCCTTTGCGTCACACCAAGTTGCTGATGGGGTTGCCTTGACTGTAGGCGAATGACCTGCTGAGCAAAGGCTTGCCTGAGGATCAGAAGAAGAGGTGCTTGTCTTTCAATGACAATCTCCATCTCATTCAGTGGCAAGCTTGGAAGACCTTCAAAAGAAGGCAGAAGCCTCTCGACATTCTGAAGGCCAGGCAGCAGACCTGACCCCGCAAGCAAGGGCTAAATTTAAGAAAGAGAAGGTTGCGAAATTCTGGGACTGGAGGATGCTGAAAGCGAGTTAAATCCTGGGCAGGGAAATGAGTTCTTTCGAGCTGGAGATTTCCATCAAGCAGCTGTTTACTACACTGAAGCAGCGGAGCTGGATGACAAGGACCACACGATCTTTGGAAATCGGTCTGCTTGCTTCCTCAAGATCGGGCAGGTTGGTTACAGCTTATCGCACACTTCGATTCTCATCTCCTCGACAAGGCCGCCAAGGCGCTCGCTGACGCGGACAAGTGCATCGAGCTGAACGAATCATTCGTAATGATCCTGCCGCCTCCCACAACGAGCAAGAATGTAACCGATTCATGCATGACAGGTCAAGGGTCACTTTCGCCGCGGTGTTTCTCTAATAGCGCTGGATCGATACGAAGAGGTTTAGACGATGCAAGCGCTGAAGCCGCTGATGGGCTTCCCAGGCTGGGAGGTCTCTCGCTCGGGCGTTGGAGCTGGATCCTAAGGTATCCGATGCCTTGTGGAGGTGCTCGGGCCGACAGCATTGCCAACTCATGGATGTCAGAACGCCGAGGCGAAGGCTTCGCTGCAGATGGCGCAGATGAAGGCGGCAAGAGCCAGACAACAGGGGACATGTGATCTCGTAGCTTCTTCTACAGGCTACGTTACTGATGAGTCTTCAGAAGGATAGAGCTTCATCTGCTGGGCATGGTCGCGTTTCCTTTGAGCTCGCAGGAGGAGTTTGAGTTACAGACCAGGCTGTGCTTGTGCAAATCCTTGAAGTTGTACCTGCAGAAACACTCTGTTCGCTGACCTGCGCTCCCGTCACACAAGAGGAATGGCAGCATGAATAACTGACAGACGCAGCTTGTATCGTACATGATCGATATAACTTCGAAGTGATGCTCCGTCATCGCTTTCACCTCCACATTTCGATTAGGACATACCTTGAGTGCGATCAAATCTTCCAGATACCTCATTCTTGTCGTCCGATATCTTCAGGACAAGGGAGACGTTCCCGGGAGTCAGGTTGAAGACATACATGTTGATGAAGCAAACAAACTTGTCTTCGCAGTGACAGTACGTCATCCTATCGACCTCCGCCCCGTTCACCTCTATCACGAACCAGTGTGCCGAGCCTGTCACCAGCATCAGTGTGGGCGTGGCCTTCACAAGCAGCACAGCAGGCTCACATCTATCCCGCAGTCCCTCTGACCTGAACCTGAGGGTAGTCCCTTCGTTCGAAATCATCTTGATTTTCTCTCCAAGGCCAGGTTGTAAGACCTCCAGCTCAATTGGTTCCTGCGCCAAGATGCCGTCTAGACCCTGAAGCATGAAGAGGAGGGGCAAGAGCAGAGCGTTCCAGCAGAGGGCACCTAGCAGACATCCAGCACAAGGCAGCCCCGAAGCCATCGCAACTACCTCTCCCCTCCTTCTCCATGCGCTGATCCCGCACTCCCTTGCTGTTTGGCCCAGAGGTGGATTTTTACTGGATCCCAGCAGACATGATTCAAATGAGGGGTGGGGTGGTAGACTACTTAGTAAAAGTAGGGGTGATCAAAGGGATACAGGAGGGGTACAATGCCTCTTTGTGAAACAGGGGGTGATTTTGGTGTAGAGGAATGTACGACGGAACATGGCGAGGGCGAACTTGGCAGCGAGATGGCTCAGATCTACAAGACTCTGAATCATGGCAGGACGTCGGTTCTACTCACTGTTCCCGACAAGTTCTCTTTCATGTGCTCAGTGATGAAGAGAGTTCGGCGGCGGCAGAACTATTGTCAAGAAGCGTACATGATGCTTTCGTTAAGGTTGTTCTAGCGTTTCAGTTCAAGAAAGAGAGCAACAGCCTGTCTCTGTCGAAGGTGCAGGGCCCGTTGCCTTCCCTCTTCTCTCCTCCCCTTGGTGCAGAGCTTCGGTCGGCAGCACCGAGCCTTCCCCGTTAGATCCCATTAGCTCCTTCATAGGACACGAACTCACTGCCCAAGAGTCGTTCGGTCCCAGGAGCATCGTCTGCCGCTGTCGTTGCAGAGCAGCTGACGAGGAAAGACCAGGCTGAGAGATAGAGGAGGATCCTCCATACAGCATGCAGGAGAATGAACGATCCGTTGTTGACGTTGGAGGCCACGATGTACGCCAGGACGGAGAAAGCAACGGCGAGGAAGAACCAGATGACGTGGAGGTCCTGCAGCAGCCCCTCCTCCTGCAGCCCGCTCCTCCCGTCAGGCTTCTTGGACAGGCGCCTCCTCAGAGCAAGGACTGGGAGGCAGAGCGCAACGGCACAGAGGCTCATCTCGGGGATCGACGACCATAGGGGAAACCAGGCGTCGAGGAGGAAGTTGACGCAGGTGACGGCGAACATGATGGCAGGGCCCTGCTCGCTGTTGAAGCCAGCGGCAGAGATGACGCAGATGACAACGATGTTGACTACCATGCCGTTGTCGATGCTGGAGACGGAATAGCCGCCGAGGGAGAAGCCGAAGAGATCTGAGGGCCTGGTGAGTGACAGGCAGAGAGGAGAGGCAGGATCGTACCTGAAAGAACTCGTGCGATCCCAGCTGCAGAGGTGACGAGGAAGAGGAGGCTCTCGATGTATCTCTCCAGGTACAGGCAGTACATGGAAGGAGCGACTGCCAGCATCGGCGACAGCATCGCCACGAGCATCGAGCCATAGTACTTCATGGCTGAGACGTCCTCAGCCGCTTTCTCGCAGGAGGAGCCAGAGTAGCCGTAGTTGCACGAGCACTGGCCAACAGTGAGGCCTCTGCCTTCGTTCCTCAGGACGCACTGCCCTCGGCTGGAGCACTCGTCTGGGCACGGCTCCACTTCCACCCTCATCGTGAACTGCATGGGGGACGCGGCGTACAGGCCGAGGTACCACGGGCCAGAGGGCGGGAAGCGGATGGGCCAGCGAAGCCTGCCCTTGTGCATCTCCTTCCTGAGGTCGTACTTTGTCGTCTGCGGGAGGGAGTGCTGCCTTAGGTAGGCCACGGCCTCGTCCCGATCCGAACCCGCGGTGATGGAGATGCTGAGGGTGAAGCCGACGAGGGACTGGTCCACATGGAAGGAAAAGTACCTCATAGAGCCCTTGGAGATCCGCAGGACCTTCTTGGCGTCCTTGGGCTCAAAGACCGGGAACGACATCGCTTTGGTCGCTGCGGAGGACGTGTGGTACCGCACCTGCAGCTTCTCCACCTCGTCCTCACAGTACGTCAGATGCTTGATGCTCTGCCCGTTCTTGGACACGACGTTCCTCTCCACGCATTCTGTGTGCGGAAGCACCTGCGCCGACACCGACACCTGCACCTCCTCCTTCCTCGCGACCTCTTGCTGAGAATGCACGCAAACGTACCAAGTCCCGGCCTTCGGCAGGTCGATGCCGACCGAAGGGACCCATGTCGAGCCTCCCACTGCCGTTGTCGCGTCGTGCTGGGATATCGTCGGGTAGCCGTGGTACCTGATGTACAGCTGTGGAGACATCATACCAACCTGTTTCTTCTGAGACGACACGAGGGAGAAGCCTACTCTTGACGTGTAAGGAGCGACTTCGTACATGCTACAGGCCCATCGGCCGCCCCCAGGGACAAGCTCGCCATGGAACAGGGCCTCTGCTCCCCAGCTCAGCCTCATCCAGTTCTGATCGCATTTGGGCCAACCAAACCTCCCGCGCTCACAGCCCTCAGTGTGAACGTTGACCGTGTACTCGGCATCGGCCTGGTTGCTAACGAAGCGATGCTCGTTCCGCTCTATCCGAAAGTCTCCCGGACCAGACAAGAAGGAGACGGCGAGGTACCACAGGCCTTCCACTGGGTTCTGAACTCGGAGCAACGCTTGGTGCTTCCCCGTCCGGTCGAATCGCTTGATGGTAGCATGCAGCTGATGCTGGTTGGACGTAGGGACGGAGCCTTGTCTCAGCCACAGGCCCAGCCTGGGGAAGCCTGCGAGCTTCCTTGCCCTGACCTTGATCTCAAGCTCGTTCGCACCAGCAAAGACTTCAAAGGTATGCACGTTGAAGGCCTCGTAGCTCAAGATCTGACCCGTCCACTCAACGTCAGTCTGACGCGTCTGGGACGCTGTCATGGGCAGGATGCTGGCGAAAGCGAACAAGACAAGCTGCAAGGAGGAGGCGGCGGATATTGTTCTAGACATGCTTGCTCGGAGGAAAGTCAGCGATGGCCCTCCCTTACTTGTCTTCAACAGTTCAGTTCCGTCTCCCTCTTCCTTGTCTTCCTCTTGCTCTCTCCTTCTCTTTCTTCCTCTTCCTCCTCCTCCGTTTCCTCTCCTCGCTCAACTTGCCAGGGCTGACGTCATGAGCATTTGTCGTCCCTATTTCTAGCACCCACCCCCTTACTATAGTTCTAACTCTTCCATGGTACCCTACCCTACCTACTCCGAACATCATTTTCAATATGTAAATCACCCATTTTACCCCTTCATTTCTATACCCTACCCCCTACAGGACTACCCTACCCTACAGTCCAACGCCCCCGTATCGGGTACTCTATGGGAGATCCTAGCGAAGATCCGGAATGAAGATGGTGGGCAGGGGAGGAGGAGGAGGCGAAGTGAAGGGAGGAGGAGAAGTCGGCAGCAGAAGATGGTGGGAGAGGATGGCGATGTTTGGCAGGTGTCACCGAGCAGCTAGGAAGGAGCAACTTGAAACGAAGGAGCTCGAGACCTTCCAAGCTCTTGCCGGTGCACTTCATGATGCATGATGGGAGGCGCCGTCAAGATCCTTTGCTCCTCTCCCGCCGCGAGCATGCTTCAGAATGAAGTCTCTGTCTCTCCTGCTTCTTCTCTTCATGCTCGATGTCACCATGCTCGAAGATCCAAGGAGAGCAGACACCATATCCCCCCCGATCGACCCGTCCCCTTGCTCCACGCCGCCTCCCCTCGCTCAACCTAACTCGCTCCATCCATGCGCCAGCGCGATTCCCTGCAGCAGGTGCGGAGGTCCGATGATGATCGTGGAGTGGTACGGCGCCGAGAGGTTCGTGTGCAAGGGGAGCACGAGGAGGAAGTGCGGGTTCACCAGGAGGCGCATCTACTCAGCTGTGTCTCGTCCGAGCTCGTACCGCCTGAAGCTGCTGGCAGAGCTGGAGACGACCAGCACCTTCCGGCTGCACTCGGGGACTTCGAACAAGATCCCCAGGAGAGCTCTCGAGAACCTGCTCGAGCAAGCAGGCCTGCTAGGGTCTCAGCAGCACGACGCCTCCCCCGTCTCCTTCGCAACCCGAGATGATGGGAGGGAGGGCGTCGTGTTCAGGCTGCAGGACTACGGCAAGGTCACGAGGAGAATCTCTCGCCTTCACTGGGTGTGCATGGACCGGCTCCCTGCTGTGACTCTGAGGGCCCTGAGAAAGCTCAAGGATGAGGCGTTCAGGGGGGTGGTCGACGAGCGGGAGGTGGGGGGGATGCTGGAAAGGTTGCCGATGGGCATGCGAGCTTGTCTCTGTCCGTACCAGATCGAAGGGATCAAGTTTGTGCTGTCCAGGAGCTGCCGGTGCATGATCGCCGACGAGATGGGGCTGGGCAAGTCGCTGCAGGCGCTGGCCGTGGCCGCGTGCCTGGACGCCTGGCCACTGCTGGTGGTGGTACCAGCGACGCTGCGGCTGGGATGGGCGGAGGAGATCGAGAAGTGGATCACGTGGCTGCTGCCAACCGACATCCACGTCATCTTCTCCTCGACTGACAGGCCCCCGCAAGCAACGCCCAAGGTCGTCATTGTATCCTACAAGATGCTTCATCGCCTCCGCTCCGACCTCCTCAGCCGCCAGTGGCGCCTTGTCGTCTTCGACGAGAGCCACACGCTCAGGACTCCGAAGGCCCGAGCTGACGTCCAGCAGACGAGCACGTCGATCAGACTCATCAGGAACGTCAGGAGGTGCCTGCTTCTGACCGGCACGCCGTCCCCGCACAGGCCCATGGACATGTTCCTCCAGCTGGACGCCCTCCATGCTGGCCTGCTGGGGTCCAGCAAGTTCGAGTTTGCCAACTCGTTCTGCGAGGTCGCCAGGTTTCCCTTCTACTCCGTGGGCAGGTGCGTCAGGGCCCACGAGCTGAACCTGATCCTCGCGAGCAGCGTCATGCTGCGGAGGCTGAAGAAGGACATTATGAAGCAGCTTCCTCCCAAACGACGATGTCTCATCTATGCTCCCATCGACTGCTCTCGTCTCCGACTTGTCAACGCGTCAGGGGAGGAGAAAGGAGAGGAGCTGCAGCTAAAGAACCATACGCGAAATCACGAAGTCCTGGTGGCCACCACTGCCTACCAGCTCGTCGGCCTCGCCAAACTCTACGCCGCCAAAGAGTGGCTGCAGCATGCGGCGATCAGCTCCGGCTGCTCGTCGAAGATCGTCGTGTTTGCTCATCATCGGCGGGTGATGAACGAGCTCGAGAGCTTCCTGCTCCAACACAACGTCAGCTGCGTTCGGATCGACGGCGAGACGGCTGGCAGGGAACGAGTCGACCTCCTCAACCAGTTCCGCCATCGTGCGCACGTCAAGGTTGCGCTGATCAGCGTGACAGCGAGCGGGCAGGGGGTGGACCTGAGCGTCGCCAGCACCGCCATCTTCGTGGGAGCTCCCTCCCGACATCTCCTGGTGCCGTCAGGCTGAAGACCGGTTGCACAGGCGCGGGCAGACAGGCTGTGTCGACATCTACTACCTCGTCGCAAGGTCGCCTTGGAAGCACTACGACGACCTCCTTCAGCCTCACTGCCATGGCCGCGACCAGTCGCAACATCGCCTGTCAAACTTTGACATGCACAGGTGGATCTCTCTGAGCAGGGACCTGGAGGACGTGTCGAGCGTGACGGACGGCCCGAAGAATCACGCGAGGATGGATCTTGACGACGAGATCGCATTGAGGGACTGGAATGCAACGGACGGGTTAACTCTGGCTGGCCGCAAGCTTGTCAAACCGGCGTATGAGACGGAGGGACACTTGTCGGACGCGGCTGGGCATCACCAAGGAACGGAGAGCAGCATGGGAGCTGAGAACTCGATAGGAGCATCCAACTTTCACTTCATGAAGAGCCAGCACACGGACAGGATCCACATGTTCGTAGAGAAAGGTGATAGCGATGATGTCTTGTTGCGATATCCTTGCGTCGACTTCTCTCGTTCCTCGTCCTCCTCTTCCTCCTTTTACCTCAACCAAGCTCTCCATCGCCTCCTCCTCCTCCTCCTCCCTTGCACTGCCCGATGTGGTTTCGTTCGCTCCTGACAGTGTCCGTATGCACCAGGGGGCTCCTTCACGTCTTTGGGCAGTTTGCGACCGGAGCAGATATGCCTGATGCAGTCAGCAAGTGCTGCGGGCCTGAGCTCCTTGCTTCCCATCCCCGCACAGAAGTCTCTGCCCCCCTCCCTCGCCCTGCAGCTCGCAGAGGAGGTGTTGTCCTGCTGCAGTCAGCTCGAGGCCCTCTCCTCCTATCAGCGCAGGAGGTTGACCGGTGAATTGACTTTGTCTAATCTGTTTCTCCTCCCCTGCTCCTCCTGCTCTCCTCCTCCTCGCCTCCTCCTTCTCTCCTGCTCCTTCCCGCTACCCTGCTTCATCCCTGCCCTTCCTTCCTCTCTCTTGCTGTTCACCTGCTTCGAACCACCCCGACCATCACTCCAGGCATTATGCTCCGTCTCCCGCTCTCCAGCGTGCTCGAATTGCTCCCTCCTCCGATGAAGAGAAACAGCACTAGACGCCTCACGCCGCGGCACGAGGCTCTTGGGGTGATCCCACCCTCCGCTCGTTGGCTGGTATGGTGAAAGAGAGAAGAGAGGAGGAGAGGAGGGAGACAAGGGGAAGGGAGAGGAGAGGAGAGGAGAGGAGAGGAGATGAGATCAGATGAGATGAGAGGAGAGGAGAGGAGAGGAGATGAGATCAGATGAGAGGAGAGGAGAGCAGAGGAGAGGAGGGGATGAAGAGGAGAAGAGATGGGAGGAGAGAAGAAGAGAAGAAGAGAGGAGGGATGAGACGGACGAGAGGGGAGAAGGAGAAGGGAGAGGAGAGAGAGGAGAGGATGGAAGGGGAGGAAGGAAGATGATGCTCGACCTTGCAGGACGTCAACGTGACGGTTGAGATCAGTTCCTCTCGTTCCTGGAGGAAGGAGGAGGACAGCAAGTTCTTCCTGTGGCGGCAGGCAGTGGATGAGGCTCAAAATATGCTGTGCATCGTTTGCATGCGACCTACCTCGTTCAGATACTCCCCTCCTGCTCCTGCTCCTGCTCCTGCTCCTGCTCCTGCTCCTGCTCCTGCCCCTGCTACTTTCCCTGCATGGTCTCTTCCATTAGTCCCTCCTCCTGTTCCTTATGTTTCAATGTCGCCTTCCTCTCTTCGTTCCCCACTCAGCTCTCCGCACTGTCCTCCTCCTGCCCTGGTCTCGAAGCCTTCGGTGGTGATGTGGATGCGTCGTACCTTCTCCCGTTCTCAGAGAAAATCGACGAGCACGGAGGGCAGCAAGGAGGGAGACGATGAGGATGAGGAGGAGGAGGAGGAAGAAGCAGAAGAGGAGGAAGAGGATGGAAAGGATGACGACGTGGACAAGGAAGAGGAGGAGGATGAGGGTAAGAAGGAGAAGGAGCTCGAGGAGGAGCTCGAGGAGGAGCGGGAGAAGGAGGAAGTGGTGGAAGAGGGAGAGGACCAGGAGGAGGAGGAGGAGGAGGAGGAGAAGGAGTTCTTCCCTGTCATGTATCATGAGCTCTTTTGCGGGGGGCTCTGCATGATGGAGTACAAGGAGAAGACCTCTCAATCGTACCTGAGGAAGAGGATAGCTCAAGCAGAGCGCGGAGTCTGTCAAGCTTGCGGCATGAACGCGCGGGAGTTGTGCAAGGTCGTTGGTGAGACGAATGTTGATGTTGTTGTTGGTCGATTTGCAATCTGCGCTGTGAAGCCAACCTTGTTCTTGTCTCATATTCCCTCGTCCTGCAAATCTATTCAAATCTTTTCCACTTATCCCAGTCATTTCCTCTCTCTCATTTCAAACCTGCTCTATTGAATTTCAAAGTTTTCTCACCTCGGGCTCGAACTTATCGCTCCTCGTCTCTGGTGTCAGCTCGAGCCCAGCTCGACTCGAGGAGAGACGTCCTCCTCCAGAGAGCTCCAGAGTTTCGAGGACGAGAGAAGCTGATCGCCAAGATAGTCTCGCGCCCTGTGGAAGGAAATTTCTGGCATGCAGATCACATCGTACCCGTGAGTGAAGAATGAGTTGATACCTTGTGATGGTGACGACGACAACAATGAGATTGAGATGCTGGAGCAGATTGTGATGATGGAGTTGATGATGATGGAGATGATGATGATGATGATGATGATGATGATGATTGTATGAAATGGTCGTTGATGATAACTATCCCGACAATATTGTTGTTGCTATTGATGATAATGTTGATGGATCTGCTATCATCTGCAGATGATCTCACTGACGATGATGATCAACATCTTCTTTCCTCCTCCTTTCTCCAGGTGTTCTCAGGAGGAGGGGAGTGCAATGTAGACAACATCCGCACCCTCTGCGTGTTGTGCCACCAGAGCCATACCAACAAGCAAGCAACTCAACGAGCTGAGGGCCGGAGGAGGAGCGAGGATGCTGAGGGAGCTGGAGCACAGAGGAAGAGAAGCAAGAGGACGAGCAGAGGAGACGCAAGAGAGGACACGGCGATCGGCCGGAAGCGCAAGAGCAAGGTGAAGGCGAGCAGCAGCGGGGAAGGAGTAAGTGAGTTGCTAAACGTTGCGTGAGATGAAGGGATGAAGGGATGAACGAGGGAGAGGAAGGGAGAGAGGGAGACGGAAGGAAGGGGAGGGGAGAGGGAGGTAGGGCAAGGAAGCGGAGGGAAGGGAGGATAGAGCAGTAGACGCGATTGAGTTGAATGGATTCACATCATCACTATCACTACCTTGTTCACATGTCACAAACTTCTCCCGCTCCCGCTCGCCCTTCAGGTCAACCCGCGCGATTCATCGGGAAACTGGTCAGGATGCTGAAGATGACAACCAACAGCGGGAGGCAGACCAGGAGCAGGAGCTGGAGACAAGCTCAGAAGCACAAGGACAAATGCAGGGCAAGACCCACCGTCACGTTCCACCTCTCCTTCAGCGCCAGGCCCGGGATAAGTCCCGCCACCGTCCTCCAGCTGCTCTGGAGCAAGAAGGAGGGGACGAGGTCCGTCGGCAGAGTCGTCTGGGTCTGGAGAGTCTGCCGGCCCGCACGTCAGCTTCCAGCAGGAGGTCAGTAAGTCAAGTGAACGACCTCGGAGAACTCCGACGACCCTTGCGGGCCCCGGGCCATCACTCGGATGTGATACTTGGTCCCGGGAAGCAAACCCTTGATGTCCGCGAGCATCTCCTGGCCCTGCAGACTTGCCCTCACGCACGCCTCGAGTTCAACCTCTCTCCTCCGCTCTTGAGCTCCTCTTCCTCTTGAACTCATCCTCTTGCTCCCTCTCCACCCCCTCTTGAGGTTCTCCTTCTCCTCCTCAGCTCCTGCTCCTGCTCCTGCTCCTGCTCCTGCTCCTGCTCCTGCTCCTGCTCCTGCTCCTGCTCCTGCTCCTGCTCCTGCTCCTGCTCCTGCTCCTGCTCTTCACACCTGATAAACAGTCCGGAAGTCTTTCTCCCCCCTCGCGCAGCATTGCAGCACCCACAGAACTCCTTCAGGTCGCAATTTGCTCCTGCTCTTCCACTTGACTGAGATGTGGTTGGAGCTCTTCGACACCTGGAGGGCACCCTAACGAGTGAGCAGGAACAACAACGTCCCTCGTCATCTTTTTTTCCTCATTTCCTCCTAATCCTTCCCCCGACATTCTCTCGTCTACCAACAAAGAGCCCCTCCTGCATCTCCTCTTCATTCGATTTCGAAGCCTCTGAGTCCCCCACGTCACCCTCGTTGGTCCTCACCACCCGCAAACTTTGAGGCATCGGCGGCAGAGCCTTCTCCGCAAGGTCCTTGTCGCTCGATCCAGCAGAAAAAGTCTTCGAGCTGTCGGAAAAAGATTCTTCCACGGCCATACCGTTCTCTACGTGCTCGCACACATCCTGTATCATGGTCAGGAGGGGGACACGAGACTGGAACCCCAGCACCTTGTCCTGACTCTTGGTTCCCGTCTCACCAGACTTGACAAGCTCAACTGCAACGGACGGCGAGCGCTCCTGCGATAGAAGCGCCTCCTCTACCTCCCGTATGTTCGCCTCCTCCTTCACAGCACATCAGGAGCAGAAGACAGCAGGGCTCAAACTCAACCTCCTTCTTCCTCATCCTCTCTGCCTCGTCCACGTCGCACAAGACTCCGCACATCTCACAGGTGTGATAGATTGAAAGATCCGAAGATGAACTCTTCGACGCCGCCGCCTTCTCGTCTTTCACAAGCACATTCGTGAATCCGCAATGGACACACAGCCAGTGCCCAAACGAGTTCTTGCCCTGCATGTTTCGCTTTTGATTCTTGTGCTTCGTGTGATTCCTTTCCAGAGGGCTCTTCTCTTGACCGTGCTTCCGTTGGCTTGCAGATGATGTCTACGGTAACGATCAGTCATACAAGGTTGCTCAAAGAAAATCCTGTATGCACCTCGCTTGTTGAATTCTCAACATTTCTGTTTCTGTGCCCTTCATTCGAACCCGAATAAACAGTAAGCTCCTCCTCGTTTTCCATCATTTCTACATGTTTGTTGGCCATGAGCTTCTTTGTGATCTGTTTCACAAAGAAAACAATCATCTCCAATGAACAAACATGTACAATCAAGTTACTTGCTCTTCAAACGAGGCCAGCAACTTCTTGGACACCACCGTACACTCCTGCTTCTTCATCGTATCGATCTCTCTATCGATCGATTCCACTGAGACATCGTTTCCTTGAGTGTGTCGGATGTTTCGGATCAATTCCTGAAGAGATTCCGTGAGAAGGCACCATGATTGAACAAAGGATCTGTTAACCTGTAATATTCTTCGTAGATGATACATCTCATCGTTCAATCTAAGATTCACTGCCTGCATGTCTGCAAGCGTTCCTTGAAGGCTGCAAACAAGCTTTTCCAGCTCATTCTGCAAACAGTTGGCATTCAGCACCCGCGCAATCAAGTTAGAGCCTCCATTTACCTGTCTCAATTCAAAGTTTTCTATTTTCTCACAATCCTTGGCCTTCTCCAAAATCAGCGACTTGTTCTGTCTCTTGCTCTGCTCGAGCTGAAATTCGAGCTCTGAGATTTTCTCTTCTTGCACATGAGCTCGGTCCAACTGCTACAGATCTCATCATCACAAAATTTGGGATTTCTCTTCCTGACTACTCCTCACCGCAGCATCAACGGAATCGCACGACTTGTGAGGGTTGTGCCTCAAATCAACCTTCGGATGCGACATCTGCAGCATCTTCACGTCTTGACTCCCAACACTGCCCTCGATAGACGACTGTGCGATCAGATCCCTCAAAGCATAGTTCGCCGAGGCTCCCCACTCCTCCGCTCCCACCCCTCCGTTGCCGAAGTTGTATGAAGGGAGCCCGAACACTGATTCAGCGTTCCAAGTGGGGAGGAAGATGGCGGGCGACGCCTGTTCTTGAACGTGAACGTTGCGTTCGGGGAGAGCTGGCGGGCCACTTTCTTGGAGGTCATGGGTTTGATGGAAGGAAACGATCACGCTGTCCTCCCTCATATTCTTCTTCTCGTGCAAGCGCATGTTGGGAACGTTGTTTTGTGCTCTCCTCCCACGGCCAGGGAACCCTTGTTGTTTCCCCCTCATTCTGCAAAACTGCACCTTCCTGTCAGAGGGGCGGGACAAACATGGATCCAGCAGGCTCAGATAGGATTCGTGATTGGGATGGCTGGTTCCGCTTTCGACCTTACATCCGTGTGCATGCAAGATTCTACAGCCTAGCACAAACTAGCACTCATAACATCCTCCCTCTCTCAGACTTCGTTCGTTCCTGCTCGAATGTGAAAGTTCAACTCCTTTCTTCTCGTCTTGTTTCCTAATCTTTGTTCGTCATGCATTCTCCTGCCCTTTCCTGCCCTGCCCTTTCCTGCCCTGCCCTTTCCTGCCCTGCCCTGCCCTGTCCTGTCCTGTCCTGTCCTGTCCTCGTGTCCTCTCCACTCTCTTTCTCTCAAGCAATCCTTTCCTTGCCACTTGCAGTCCTGCAAGATTTTGATGCAACCAAAACCATTATTGGTCTCTCCGAGAGATGTAACCCTACCCCCCACCCCGTTTCGGCACCACCCCACCCTGAATTACGCAGCTGAATTACCCCCATACTGGTCGTGAATTCTACATACTCCAAATTTCAAATATATTGACATACCTACCCTGTATCCAGCACAGAAAATATACTCAATTGTACCCGTATCATGTGTCAAAGACTTCAAAATTTACCACGAATCTATCAACATTCCCTAGATTTCAAACACTACCCCCATGCCTGGGTTAGCTTTAACATGGGTACCCTACCCCTTCTATTCCTGTGGTGTCAGGTTTGCCCACCCCACTTCTGATCAAATTTGATCTTTGCTCCACCCCACCCCCCTCTTTGGACACAATTGTGCCAAATCAGTTTAACCCACCCCCCATTTGGTACCCACCCCAGGATTTGCATCTGATTTTTCCTAAGAAGCATGGGTAGACGTAAAGTACCCTTACCATTTATTCGTGAGTAAGTGGGGGTAGCCCCATCGTTTACACTACCCGTTCTCGACAGAGGAATCCCCCTTAGTTTGACCCAGGTGGGTGGTCGACAAAAGGTAGGGTAGCCTCGCAGGTAGTACCGAAAATGGTGGGTGGTGATACCCTGGGATGCAATACACGGGGGTTATGACCAGAGAGATGCATTGTTGTTTCTCGGTGGGTGGGGTCATATGAATTTCACCAGTGCCCAATATGGAGGAAGTGTGTATCAAGTACGGGTAGTTGGACAGCGAGTAAATATTGGTGTGGGTGGGTATATTGCCATAGGACTGAAGGGTGGGTGCCAGAATATTCATAGGGTGGTGGGAATTGAGGTAGGGTGGTGCCAAAGAGAGGAAGGAGCAGGGGCGCGCGTGATGGCGGAAAGAGGAAGAGGAAGGGGAGGGGATGGGCGGAGGAGGGGGGGGATAAGACGCGGGAAGAAAGACAATGAAGCAAGGGCAGCGAACAGGAAAAGTGCTTTGGGGCATGCGGGAAGCGGGAGCAAAGAGACACGAGAGAGGGCGAAGACAAGAAAAGACGATAAGACGCGGTGAATTGGAAGGGATTTTGGATTTTGGAGATTAGTTCAAGGCAGCGAAAGGGAGAGCGGAAGGTTACACTCTTGACAAAGGACTGTATGCGAGTCAGAACAGGAGGTCGTATCAGTAGTAAGTCATGGCAAGGAAAATTTGCAAATGGTTGGGCGATTCTCACTAACAAAAGACTTGGGCCTGAATAGAAAATCATACAACAGGCGGAGAAGCAAGTGAGGTCAAGGATGGCCTTTCTGAAATCTTAAATTCATATCTGTAGCAATGCACGAATCCTTTCTAAGTGGAGAATGAGGCGTGAAGACACGAAGGGATTTGTTGTAAAGAGTAGCCTCAACGTGATAGGAATATGAAGGGAAGCCGTAGGTGTTTAGGATGTTGCCAGACTTTGTTGTCTTTTTTCCGAGGAGTTTTAGTTTAGATGAGCCCTGAGCAGAGTTCCACACAAATGTTTTAGTTCCAGGAAGAAACGTGATGTCGAGAGTGTTTTTCCTTGTATGGTTTTAGGAGGTAGTGCAGAGGAAGAGAAAGTCAGAGAACCGTGTCTTGTTTGTTCATGCACGATACTGATCCTGGTTGTTCTGCACCTGATCCTTGTACGTTGCTAGTTGACAATGGCCGACTCAACTGAAGACGTCCCGAGTTCGCTCATACCTGAGGGAGAAGCGGTTGTGTATGAGGAGGAACTTCTTGCGAATCCATTTTCGGTCAAGCTGTGGCTGCGTTATCTCCAGGTGGGAGTCTGTTGGACTTGATTTCTTCCAGGACTGATTTGTAACAATCCAGGTGCGAGCTAATGCACCGTTCTCTCAGCGAAAGATTTTGTATGAAAGAGCCTTGAAGGCATTGCCAGGGAGCTACAAACTGTGGAATATGTATTTGACTGAGCGAAAAGATCGCCTTAGGCACAAGTGTGTCACTGACCCTGCATTTGATTCTCTCAACAATACTTATGAGCGAGCGTTGGTCTTTATGCACAAGATGCCTCGAATTTGGTTGGAGTATACTAAGTTTCTTCAACTCCAAAGGAAAGTTACGAAGACGAGACATGCTTATGATAGGGCTCTCAGATCTCTGCCGATTACACAGCATGATAAGATATGGAAGCAATATATTGCGTTTGCAAAGCAATCAAATGTTCCAGAGATGGCTTACAGAATTTTCCGACGATTTATGAAGTTAGATCCCGACTCTGTTGAAGAATATGTCAATTACCTGGCAAAACATGAGCAATGGAATGAAGCTGCAACACTTCTTGCACAGGCATTGAACAGGGAAAGTTTCATTTCAAAGCAAGGAAAATCAAAACACCAATTATGGCTTGAACTATGCGATATGTGCACTAAGCATGCTCAAAACATCACCACATTGAAGGTGGAACCAATCGTGCGAGGTGCCTTGAAAAGATTTACAGATGATGTAATGTTGCAGTCCTGTGTTATGTTCCTTTCTTATGCCATGGCAGGTTGGAAGGTTATGGACATCCCTTGCTGATTACTTCATTCGCCTGGGACACTTTGAAAAAGCCCGCGACATCTTTGAGGAAGGTATTAACACAGTTATTACAGTGAGAGATTTCTCGATGATCTTTGATGCCTATACACAATTCGAAGAAACCATGATATCGGCCAAGATGCAGGATGATGAATCCGAAAATCAACAGGCCGAGGATGATTTGGACGTAGAAGGGGACGACTTGGAGTTGAGGTTGGCTCGGCTGCAGTATCTGCTAGATCGACGAGCAGAGCTTCTTTGCAGTGTTCGACTGAGGCAGAATCCGCACAATGTTCACGAATGGCATCGTAGAGTGAAAATATTCGAAGAGCAAGACAACCCTGAGAAGGTGATCAAGGCTTATGCTGAAGCTGTGCAGACGGTAGATCCCATCAAGGCAGATGGGAAACCCCACACCCTATGGGTTTCCTTTGCCAAGTACTATGAAGACAATGATGACTTGGACTCTGCAAGAGACATCCTCGAGCGTGCGAGCAAAGTTGAGTTTCGATCCGTCGAGGATCTTGCAACCGTATGGTGTGAGTGGGCTGAGATGGAGCTTCGTCACGATGAGTTTGAGAAGGCGATCAAGGTCTTGCACAAGGCGACTTATGTATCAGATCGAGTAGCCAGGGCTTCGGTGGGAAAGGAAAATCCAAATTTGTCCGTGCAGCAGAGACTTTGGAAGAGCACTAAACTGTGGAGTATGTATGCAGATCTGGAGGAATCCCTTGGAACCTTGGAATCAACCAAGGCCGTGTATGAAAGAATGATTGATCTCAAAGTTGTCACGCCTCAGATTTTGATAAATTATGCACATATGTTAGAGGAGGCCAAGTATTTCGAAGAATCTTTCAAGGTGTATGAGAAAGGGGTCAATGCGTTTGAATGGCCACTTTCAAAAGAATTGTGGGTTGCTTATCTCTCCAAGTTTGTCAAGAGATATGAAGGCAAGAAGATGGAGCGGGCTCGCGATCTCTTTGAGCAGGCCTTGTCCAAGATCCCCGAAAGAGAGCGCAGAGCCATTTTCCTGATGTATGCCAAGTTCGAGGAAGACTTTGGTTTGGTGAAGAACACCATGTCGGTCTACGAACGGGCCTGCAAGGAGATTGCTCCGGAAGAGAGGTACGATCTTTACATCCAATACATCAACAAGGCTTCGGAATATTTCGGAATCACCAAGACTCGTCCAATCTACGAGGATGCCATGCAGCATGTACCGGACAGCCGAATCAAAGACGTGGCAGTCAAATACTCCGAACTCGAGCAGACTCTCGGGGAAATCGATCGAGCGAGGGCGATCTACCAGTACGGCTCGCAGCACTGCGATCCTGGCAAAGACGAACAGCTGTGGAAGTTGTGGCATGCCTTTGAAGTTCGACATGGTAACGAAGACACCTTCCGTGACATGCTGCGCATCAAGCGATCGGTTCAACTTCAGTTCTCGCAAGCTCACGTCAACGCGACGGACGCGGCGATGGCGCTGATTGAGCAGGTGCTGCTACGTCTCCTCCTGTCCTGCATTGCTGACCTCTCCTTAGGGACCGGCAGCGAAGCGTCAACGCGTGTCCAACGACATGGAGGCGCTGGAGAGGCAGATGATGCAGGAGACGATGCAGAGCATGGCAGACGCTCCTTCCGAGTCCACAGGTGGAGACATCGTGGCCATGAGCAGCGATGGCCCGGTGAACAACAACGACGAGATCGCTCTCGACGACGACGAGGAAGACGACGAGGAGGCGACAAAGATGGCGCTGGAGAATGTGAGTGTCTGCTACAGTGGGAGAGGGACGAGGGAGGGGAGAGGAGGGAAGAGAGAGGACAGTGGCAGGGTGGAGAAGCAAGTGGAGGATTCGGAGGAGGGAAGAGGAAACTGGAGGGCGAGGAGAGGCGAGAGGAGTAAAGCATAGTCATCCTTTGATGCAGGCCGACGATGGCAAGGGGCTGAAGAGCCTGGCGATAGCGGAGAAGGCGATCCCGTCTGCTGTGTACGGAGGGTTTGTCAAGGTGAGGAAGGCGAGGCGACGAGGTTGGCTGGTTTTGACCCCAATGCAGGAGGGCGAAGCTCCGCAGGGAGCGCTGGCTCGATTCCGCAACCAGAGCAAGTAAAAGAGGAGGAGGCGAGTGGATTCTGTGCAGTGGAAGATACCTTGAAATGAAACTTACAAGATGTCTTCGCTTGTCCTTCTACTCCCTTGAACACTTCCTCTTTCTCCTCGCTCCTGTCCTCCTCCTCCTCCTCCTCCTCCTCCTCCTCCTCCTCCTCCTCCTCCTCCTCTTCCACCTTTAGCGCCCTCTCGTATCGCTTCTCATCCAGGTTGCCTTCAACCAGTCCCCCTCCTCATCGCCCCCTTCCCTCCCCGCCTACAAACTCTGCTACAACTGCTACAACAGCTCCTACCAACTCAGCTACCAACTCTGTGCCCAGGCAGGTGCCCAGGTGCTCTCTCCAGTAAAAGCGGGGATGAGGCTTTATCCTCCGCCCGACAAATCTTTTCCCCTCCCTCCCCTCCCTCCATCCTCCCTCCCTCAACGCCCGCACCCCTTCACCCCCACCCACCTGGGTCTTCCCTTGTCCTCCTCCTGGCTCTACTGTCTCCTCTCCCTCTCCTCTCCCTGCCTTCCCTCCTTTCCCCTTTGCTCCTCTCTCCTTTCTACTCGCTCCTCGCTCCTCTCTCCTCTCTCCTCTCTTTCCCTCATTTCCATGGCGCAGCGATCGAAGCTCCTGCTCCTGCTCCTGCTCCTGCTCCTGCTCCTGCTCCTGCTCGTGACCATGGCGGGAGGCAAGGAGAAGCATCCCCACAACTCCTTCCTTCCTCAGCTCACGGCGCTAGCGACCATCACCCACACAGGAGACGCCGAAGTCGACGCTACCATGCAGGTAGAGCAGCAGGGCGATCTCCTTCCTCCTCACCCCATGACAGAGAGCGCTCGTCTTCCATCTTCAAGGATGGTTCGCCAACAGCTCTGACATGTTCGCCTCTGTCGCGCACATGCGACCCGCGCATCTCGATGCTTACCTCGGAGCTGCATTCGCCCTCCATGCGCTGGTGCCTCCACCGTCTCCTCCTCCTCCTCCTCCTTCATCATCACTCTGTCGGATACTTCTCCTCCTCTTCCCTCCTCCCTCAACCTACTAGCTTCTTCTGCTTGACCTCCTCGTTCCCCCCCCTCACCCTAGCGCAGCCTCATGGGTGTGAGCTCGCTTCAAGGAGCTTGAGAGCTTATCTCCGGCTCCTCCACGATGAGCCAGCTGAGCAGCGGACAAGGACGAGCTCGGGGAAGAGGAGGAGGTGACGCGCGGCTGATCCTTGGCTTGCCGCTGACTTCCTCCCCAGCAGCGACGTAAAGATCGACTGGCGCAAGTGAATTTCTACGCTCGCCGCTGCCTCTTGCTGAACGGAAATCCCTCCACAGGCGCCAGGAGGCTTGCCGCACTGCTCCCACGAAATCCTTCCCTTCCCCCTTTGGAGGAGCAGGAGCAGGAGCAGGAGCAGGAGAGGATGGGAGGATGAGGATGTGGGTTGACAACGGGATCTTCGTCGACACGACATCCTTCAGGTGTGGACGAGGTTGAGGCGCTCCCGCTGACGTGTGCGCAGGAGCATGAGCAATCACATCTTCGATGAGCATTTCTGCCTGTTCGACCCCAGCAGGGTGAGGGCAGGTGACATCGTCTTCGTCAACACGTACCTCCTCTGCTCCTTCATGCGCGTGTTCCACCCTCTCATCAAGGTTCTATGACCCCTCCTCATTCCTCTGCTTCTCTCTTCTCCCCTCCTGTTCCCTTGTTGCATCTAGTCTCCCTCTTCTCCTCCCTTTCCATTCTTGTTCTGCTCTCCTCTCCTCTCCTCTCCTCTCCTCTGGAATGATAGTGTGCAGAAGGAAGAATTGAAAGCATAAGGGGAAATTCAGAGCTCCTCTCCTCTCCTCTCTTCTCCTCTCCCATCCCCTCTCTCCTCTCCTCTCCCATCCTCTCTCCTCTCCTCTCCTCTCCTCTCCTCTCCTCTCCTGACATCTGCTATCTAAGGTCAAATACGTCCTCATCACTCACAACTCGGACTTGTCAGCACCGAAAGTCTCCTCACGTTTCGACTTCACGAGGAAGCTGGAAGATCCGAGGTAGAGATGAGCCGCTCCTCTCCTCTCCTTCCCTCCCTCCTCTCCCATCCTCTCTCTCTCCTCTCTCTCTTCTCCTCCTCTCCTCCTCCCTTCGCCTCTCCTCCTCCCCTCCTTCTTCCCTCCCGCCCCTCCTCAAGTCTCCCGTCACCCTCTTTCTCAAACAGCATTCTTGTCTGGTTTGCGCAGAATGCAAACAGGGAGCACAAGAAATTGCGGCCGATCCCCCAGGTCTCGTTGCCCTGCTCCTTGCGCGACCCTCACGATCTGATCTGCTCCCAGGGGTTTTCTGTCAGCACCAAATCGTTGTCTGTCGATTGGAGCGTTTCTCTTGCATACAGGTTGAGAGAGACTGGGGAGGAGGAGAAGGGGGAGAGAGAGATGGAGGAGTTGGTGGAGAGGAGGACGAAAGCAGGAGAACAGGGGGAGGAGAAGAAAATGAGGGGCGGGAAGTAGGAGGGGAGGGAAGGAGGAAAAGCAGAGCCAAGGAGGAGGAGGGGAGAGTTTGAGGTTCGGAGGCAGAGGGTCTGAGGGGATGAGAAGACGGGAGGGGGGTGGTGGTGGCGAGGAGAGGAGAGGGAGTGAGCAATCTGACGAGGAATCAGGCAGCCGAAGACATTCGAAGATAATATTTCGTTCCTCTCCTCCCGCTCCCGATGGTGACAGACACGTCGGAGATCGCGGCTGCTGATAGAGCATGGCAGGCTGTACGCGAACTTCAACACGAGGAACAACCTGGTGAGAGAAGAAATCCTTGGATGGGCGAGGGCCGAGGAGAGGAAATCGTTCGTGACTGTGAGGAGCGAGAAGATCTCCCAGGTGAGCTCAAGAAGGAGGGAGATGGGGTAACGGACTAGACACGTGAGAGAGGAGGAGGAGGAGAGGAGGAGGAGGAGGAGGAGGAGGGAGGGAGGAGGGAGGAGGGAGGGAGGGGAGGAGGACGAAGGAGGGGGAGGAGGGACGGTGGAGGAGGGGAGGGAAAGTTACCTCAATACTTGCAAGCTGATCATTTGAAGCCCATGAACAGGCGACAACAGCACTCTGAGGCAGCGAGTTGAGCATGAGATTGCAACAAAAGACCAGAAAAGGTTTTGAGGTGCATGGGGAGAGGGATGATGATGATGATGATGATGATGATGATGATGATGATGATGATGATGATGATGATGATGATGATGATGATGATGGTGATGATGATGATGATGATGATGATGATGAGTGAGGAGGAGGAGAAATCATCGGGGGGGGGGAGGGG